GTTGAAGATAAAATACAGAAATATAATTGGATAAACATATTTATCATAGTTGTCATAATTAGTCTAACATGATCTTCCTATTCGAATTCGAAGTTTCACAAAAGCGCTTGCCTTTCCTCGATATCTTATCAGCAGTATGCGTAACTTTTTGAGCTTCGGGATACTATAGAAAACCAATTAACGATAGACTCTTGCATAACTAACGCATTCCTTATCACGAAAGATACGCTTAAAATCTACCTTACTTTCTACCATTAACACGTTAAACGTCACACTGGTTTTACGTGCCATTCCATTCACGTCACAGTTAGACGCCATACGGACCAGCGAGGCCTGATCGGAAAGTCTAGGGACCCTAGGGACCGGCGTGGCGTTTAACGCGTTAATACCCTCCCCTATTGAATTGAAATTCGATCGCAATAACCGCGCAAGTGGAAGAAATCTTCAATGCCACTTATCAAACAGAACCTACAGCAAATTTTTCCACGGTATACCCCATTTTCCTCTCTCCCCAATATTCACCGACTCACACCGAGGTCTGCCATAATTCCCGCGTTAGAAAAATCGGGACCTCCCTCGAACATATCAAATTTCCAACTAACTCGACGAAACTTTCCGCCTTTCTCGACAGGGATCGTTAAGCAGAGCCTTCGGTCTACGACCCAGGAGCGAGAAGGCCTCGCCATCGTCGTCGTCGGACACCGGAAGCCTGGCTAGCCAGTACATGAGTAGCGCACGCAGCAACTCACCGCCACCTCCGCAACTGCCACCGAGACCCATCACCGGGAACAAGAGACATCGCAGAGTGAAGAGCATAGGTGACATCGACTACATAACAAGCGCAGCAGTAAGCACCCCCGTTTGACAGGAGGGTAGGCCCCAACATCCGGGGCCATATCGGAGCCTGAGCGAGCGAGGATACTCTTCATCGTACTCTTCTTCGCAGTACGGCTCGTATTCCGGCTACAGCAACGTTCTGCCCGGCGATCAGTACCAGTACCAACAGACTGGTAATTATTACCAGCTGAAGGGCGGTTATTACTCGCCGCAGAGCACTGGTCCACCGTTTCCAGGGGTTCAGAGGTACGGCAGCCTGGCCGAGGAGGCCTGGTCGTGCACCACAAAAGACGATTCTGGCAATCAGAAGGCGAACCCCAGGACTTACCTTGCTTAGCTGGCCTCGAGAATGTCCATGGTGACGTCACGATGACGAATCGCGACTTATCATTGTCTCGTTCGAACGGCTACGTTATTAATTTTGAGAGAGAGCTGTGATTTAAGGACGAGAGCTGGGACTGCTGCGCGGTTAGACGAATAAAGTTAACCCTTTCACCGATGGTGAAATCAGTGTTGATTGAGACGATGGTCGGGAATTGGTCGGAAACCGCAGGTTCTTGACCATTCTCGAAGTGCAATTAGCGGAGTTAATTCATTAAGGAGCAAGCGCAAGAATAAGGCGATTTTTAAATTTCGAATTAAATTGTTTATTTCTTTTAATAGTTGTAGTTATTTTAACTACGTATCTCTAACTTAAACGGAAAAGAAAAATTGTTAGCATCGTAATTAGAAAATTACAAAATGCTACGCAAGTTTGGGCCATAGTGGATTAACTTCGTGATCTTGTTAAGAAATTTGGTATCGGATAAGTTTGTTAACGGTGACAAAATGTTAATTAAGTCGATCTTGTTCTTCGTTAGATTTATTTGAATGACGATGGAAGATAGGAAGATCATTGATCTAGTAAAATCCTGTCGAATCAAACAACGTTTGTACGAGACTTAATTCTCAAACGATCGAATGTGCGGATGAAAATCCTGAAAAATTTATCGTTCGCTATGAAAATGAAACTTAACATCGGCACAGGTGGAAGGGTTAAAAAAATTCAGTCACATCGAGATGATCCTGTAACGATCGGCAATCTTGGACGAGAGAACCTGCTGTGCCTATGTGGACATGCGAGTAGAAAGCACCTATATGGAAAGTTCGAACGTGTGATATAATATGAAAGAAGCTTGATATATCGTGCGAGAAAGACTTTATGGAGGAATCCTGGACTTGGTCTGGTCGTATGAATATTAAAACTCTCGACGAATTTGAAACGTAATCGCAACGAACTGTTCCATCTCATTTCGTTCTGTAAATTAATCCAATCGCTCCTATCGAATACATCCAGGACCAGTTTTTATAGTGCTTCAAGGACATGGTGGATGTAGTAATGATAAGTCGTAAAGTAATTTGCATCAGTAGTATCAGCAGCGAGACGGAAATAAGGAGGGAGTTCTTGTCTAGAACAATTTAGAAACTGCTTGTAAATTCATTTTCGACGAATTAAACCTGAGAGTAATCAATCGATGTAACTGAATTTTGCCTAGCTTACGAGAACATCGACTAACGTTAATCGACATTTCTATTCGCTCTATCGAGAATGCTGGATCATCGATGATACGTGGTATAAAACGCATTAAATTCTATCACTCGTTGATCAAACATAGTTATAATTGGTAAACAGTTACACCTTGCTGAGCATACTACTGAGTACCGAGCAAATAGCCTAAGTTATCGAAAAAGAACTATTACAAACAGTATTTAAACACGAGCGTTTAGCGTTATCCAGACGGAAACTCGTTCGGACCGTTAATCGATGTATCGGTGACTGTTTCCAATAAATCGTTATGATCGATGGCAGTCGCTGCCAGGCGAATGATTTACGAGTTATCCGAAAATTTCGACGATTCGATGCGATGGGTTACGACCAATTAGGAAAAGGAATGGATACATCCCAGCTACTCGTCGTTGGCTAAAAATGTTCATTTCTTAATCAACAGCCGCATTCGTGCACACGACATCTGGTGATCGTTTTGCGTGAATTTAACGATTTACTTAGCATTTTATTCTGGAATCAATTATAAGACTGTTGTTCGAATTTGGAAGCGTACGATCTTCTGGAACAGAGAAAGCGAAACTTGTCCTTTAAAATCGTGCAAAGTGATGCTTGTCAGTTCTTTAACGCGTTCACTGCTAAACGCACACGACGCCTCGATGCCATTATTCGAGCAAATGTCGACGTAGCTGATACGATCTTTTATTTTCGTTCCAACGAAAAGACTTCGGTTAGATAAACAGCTTTAACAGCTGGTAAACGATTGAACAAATATTATTTCTGGATATTAAAAGGCATTTCTATATGATAGAAAGAAAAGCTAACTGCTGTAGAGAAGTAGTCGTGCTTTACAATTAATAGCAGCGAGTGCGTTAATGGCTGCTATCTGTATCGTGATTGATGATTTGATTGATAATCGATATCATTAATATTATTTGTTATCGATTATACTAATAATTTCAAAACGCGAGCAGTGTATGTTATCTTCTGCTTGTATCTACTAAAAGAATGGAGAAACGACAGCATGCAGAGGCTTCCATTGAATTCTACGCGAATGTTCGAACACGTTTAATAAAACCACACACACATACATACACACATACACACAGATACGTGCGCGTATATACTTACATGTATGTACACACATTCCAATTGCTGTTTCTCGAGGAAAATCACAAAGCAGAATAAGTAAATACTTATTTTATTTATCGACGAAAGAGTTTAGGATAGTTAGGTGAACAAAAAGTCGACGACCAAGTTACAGTCAGTTTTAAAGTTTAAAAGGAGGACAAAAAGAAAGAAATCAACTAACGACATATGTTCTGAAATTTTTGGAAATCGTGTAACTTTACTCGGTCTCCACTGAACCTATTTCTTCTACAGTTTCATTATCGTTTTCTACGTTAGTGATACTTGTATATATACATAACGAAACGAAAATCGAGTAGCGGTGCTTGATATAAACTGAAAAAAACAGAAAGAAATATTTTCTTCGTTCTTTCTTTTTTCTTTTCTTTTTTTTTTTCTTCTCTTTGCCCTTTTTCTTCCAACGCACACAAGGAAGCGATGTTTGCGAATGGTTAACGATAAATAAGCGAATCAAATATATCATTTGCAGAAATGTGTAATACCAGAGTTCGAGTGATGATCATCGTTTAAAAAATACGTGTTATGATGTAATTAATTGTATAACTGTTAAAAAGAAAACGCGTGCATGTGCCGATTATAGTCAACGATGTATTTATACAGCCGTAAACACGATGTTAATTATTATAATACGTTATAATAATTAATATTAAAATAACGTTGGATATTCTGGATCACGTTCAAGGCCGCCAGAATCGAATCGAATAGCACGTCAAGATTTATTCTTCATTATGCTTTGCGTAACGGAACGATATATTTTGTAGATAAAAATTTCAATAATTAATATTTATTCGTAGGATTTCTCATTGTATTTATACTCGGTGGTAAGTTATATGGTTAAGTTGGACAGTTCTGGATCCATAAATTCGTTTAACCCGTAGACCAGTATTAGCATCGTTTATTGATCGATAAACGACGAATCAATACTATTCGGGTGTGATCTATTCACTTATCTATCGTATACCTAAGTAATTTATTCGAGTAAATTAGTTTAGGTTTTTAATTTATTCGATGCGCGTCCATACGATATTCATGGTCGATCGACATTTTAATCGACGACAATTGTAACATTTGCTTTATGAATGTCTCTTAAATGATAATGCGACCAATGAACAGATGAAACAATTGTAAATGTGCTCAGTATCGTCTGTATATATTTGTGTGAGTTGTATCTAAATATTTGGGAGAAACGAAATAAACGAATGCCTTCACTTCTGTGCAAGAAGGAGGATCTTCTCCTTAGTTTTTATTTATTTATTTTCAGATTGTTACAGTGAATTCTTAGAAACGTACAAACATTCAAGATATAATAATTAAAAAGTAGAAAATATAATAAATTTATGCTAACAATTGTAAAATATTTGATTAATGTTTCATATTAAACAGTACAATATAGGATTTTTCAGCACATTTAGAAATAACAGCATTATACTATTACATCTCCGTTTGTTATTTAACATGTGTGATTAGTAACTTAGTACTTGTTATTCAACATATATACATAAAAAGCAGAGAATAGTTCATCAGCAATCATATCAATGCATTCATATAAATATCCAAGAATTTTTGTTAATACGTCAAGTATTTTATGTTTACTAGTAGAGGCAATATTTACATTATATATCTTTAAATTTGCTTTACAATATATCCATGAGAAATAAATAGCATCGCATAGAAACATGCCAGGTTCATTGCAATGTTCTGCTATAAGTGTTGAAATTTTAAAACATTTAATTAATATATCTACTGGATTATTCATGTATTTCATTTCTTGCAATATATCATTAAAATAACTAATGTCAGGTAGTTGTTCATTTGAATATTCCTTATCCACAAAAAATTCCTTTAACAATCGTTGAAGTAAAACTTTTAACTTAATCAGATGATCATTCCTTTCTTTCAATGTTACTGATTCTCTTGAGTCTGTTAAATTAAATATAATTCTACCAACTGTCAATAAATGTCCTGCAAACTGAAGAGGATCTAGAAATATTTTATTATTTATAACAATATTATTATTCTTGTATATTACTGGAAATTCTATCTTATTCTTCATTTTACACAAGAGATTTAAAAAGTGTTCTTTGTTGACAATTTTCTTTGTATCATATATAATACCTTGAGAGTCAGTCTGCTCATTTGAACTACTATTTGCATTCATTTTATTAAATTCTTTCTTCAGTCGATTTCTACGCAAAGTTGTCTTGAAGTTTTCAAAAATAGTACCTTTAGATGATCCTATAAGCTCACCAGCTAATTTTGTACTTATTACAACATTGCTAAAGAATAAAACATTTGAAGCAAACATAACTATATCTAAGAAATCAACTTTGCTTTCCATTTGATATTTATATATAAAATCATAGCTTTTATAAACTATACCAATACCACCTACTGTTAAATTACCTAATAACATAGAATTATAAGCTATTTTAGCTGCAGCACCTATGGTGCTACCTCTTGTAATAGCTTTAGACATAACCACAGTTCCACCAGATGCTCCTAATGTAAGAACTGAACCAGCTATATCTAACCAGGCAGGAAATGCAGTTTTATTTATAGGATTAACAGATTGATTATGTTTAACACGATCTACTAATTTTTGTGAATTCCTAGCAACAGTCCATATTCCACTTATGCCATTATAAATGAGACCTAACAATTAATATTTTAATCAAATAATAGTGACAAAGCTCACAGAAAAATTAGATTATTTTAATTCATTTAGAAATAAATAATTGATACCTGCAGTAAGTACAACTGGACCAACAGGTGTGAAAATACTAGCAGCACCAATACCCAAAGAACAAATAGCCAGAGTATTTGTAGCAATATCAACATTTTTAAGAACTTTATTTTTAACAGTACACGCAGGTGAATCTAATATTTCAATCCATACAGTTGAATTATATTCTGTAACCTTATCATTTGGATTACATTGGTATAAGCCACCTTTTGGTAAAATCATAGTACACTGTGGTAATGTATTATTTGTTACATAATCTTTCCAAGTTTTATATGTTCTGCCCTCATTGTCAATATACCATATACCACGCATTTTTGTTTTTATTTTAAATATCGGTACCAAAGTTATGTTGTTGTTCTCTTTATTCAATTCGTTATTCATTTCGTTGGCTTCCTTCAAAGATATTTGAACAAATATTACATTAAATATAATTCCAACATAAATAGTATCACATGCAGTATCTCTTCCAAACTTTATTATCTTTTGATATATATCATCTATAACTTTGCACATTTTGTTATCGAATATTACTCTATTAAGTACACTATCTTGATCAGCATAATTTCCAAAAGTATATAATGATTCTACATTTTCATTAACTTTGGGAAGACCAAAAAGGGCATATCCAATTTTATGTCTTATAATATCATAATTTGCAGAATCATATTCAAACCAATCGGGAAGAATTTCATAATACAATTGTTGATATTCTTTAGCAAGGTTTATAATTTTTGTCTGAAATGAGTGAAATACACGTGTATAAATTAAATGTATTACACTGAAAAAAATTAATTTAAATATAATAAATTTAATTGAATTTAAACAGGTAAATTTACCTTTACATCATCAACAAAATTAGTCATATTGGTTCTTAGAAATGTAAGTATAAAAATAAATAAATAAAGCTATTACTTTAGCTATTTAGCTTTTCTATTTATATGGTAATCAAAATGATATTTCACATCAAACAAAAATCTGAAATAATTACAGAAATAAATAATAATTAATCAACTACAGTTAACTTCACACATATATATATTAACGTAATACACAATCCAGATATGAATCCAAAACTATTTCTCCTTTTTCTGGCATAAAAATTCTTTGTTATATTTACCGAAAACAAATGAAGGCATATATGATACCAACAAGTTTCATTTTTTAGACTTCCCCGTCGACCGTTTCAAACACTACACGAGTGTAGTGTACGGTTCGTATATAGAGTGTAATATGTTTCATGAAATTAACATTACGTGCAATTCTATAATCACAAACTACTTTATTTGATAAATTTTCATGCATTAAAATTAATTCAGTTAATATTTAACAAGTTATTTATATATTGACTTATGTATTTATAAATAATAAATAATAAATAAACAATATACCCCTACTGCAATCCGTTGATACTGCGTTAATTTCTTCAATAAGATAGACAAGAATAAAAGCTCAAATCGATTTGTTATTAATAATTATTTAAAAGCGTATGTGATTTGATATCAACAGATGTCATGATTATTCGTTAAAATACTTAGTTATGACAAAAACTAGAAATACATGCCCAAGGTTATGATATTTATAACGCGTGCATGAATATTTACTTAGCAACCACAATAGGGAACCAATTAAAATTAACCAGTAAGATTCAAGCGACTACAATCTTCGTTCAGCGCCATCTATGATTTTGGATCTACCGCTCAAGAAAGTAATAGGAACATAGAATAAGCAAGGAGGTCGTCTAACCTCGCCACGAGACAGACAAGGACAGAGAGTGGTAAGAAAAGAATAAAAGGGCTCCGGTAGTGAAAAATTAATAAATTACTCCATTTATGTAATTAATTTATGAACTTTTATAATTTCATTGCAAAGCTGAAACTTTAAGCAACATTCTTATATAACTTTCGTGAAGAATTTTACGCTAATTAGTTAGTTATTAATTTTTGTTTTATGGCGTCTATGATTTCGTATCGACGACCATTACGATCTGCCGTGAAAATATTTAATAATCAACGAAACTAGAATCAAAATGTGAATAAAAGTAATATGTGAAGACGCCCCAGAATATCGTTTATATAATGCGTGCATGAAAGTCATAAATTGATTACGCAAAAGATAGTAATTAATGAAAAATCAATGGCGTCTTCGATAATAATTCGAACACTGCGTAGAATAATCATTAATAATTAATTAATTAGGGACAAATTTATATCGAAAAATATATTGGAAAGTTCTTGAAGGATCTGCCTTTACGATGCAATTATAAAAGTTCATAAATTAATCACAAATATTGAGTAATTAGTGAATTTTCCACTGCCGATTTGATTTATTATGTTCTCATTACGGAATTCGAGCTTCGAGTCTAACACCATAGATGGCTGTGATGTCAGTTTACTAACTCTGGTTATATGCTTCTAATATATTTTAATAAATGGAACCTTTCTATCTTTTTCTAACTGCATGCTGTCCTTGTCTGTCACGTGACCAGCTCTTCTACGACCTCCTTGCCTATTCTATATTCCTATTACTTTCTTGGTTTTTGAGCCCAAATCATAGATGGCGTTGATCGCAGTTAAGCAATCGAAAACCACGTGACGCTTTGAGCGGGAGAAACAAAGCAATAAAACGACATAAATAAGTATAATGGATTTTTCTGCCTTCTCTTTATTCTCCTAACAGCCCGACGAACATGAAGTCGTACATGAAGACGAGAGATTTTGTTCTTGGTAATGTATATGTAGAATATAAAGATGGTTTTACTATACTAGTCTGTTTTTTATTTTGTTATAATTATATTAATCAAAGATTATGTTCGTTCGGTTAGTACTTTTTGAAGTTATAATTTAAGTCGTTTCTAAATTTTTATTATATATTACTATAAATCGTAGTATAATATTTTATAATTTATAAAATCCATAATTCTAAATTTAATTTATTTTTTATATGTTTTCTTCTTGTTTTGCCCAAGGAAAAGACAAACAATTAATTTTTTTACATAATTAATTCTTAATCATTTTTATTTTTCAAATATTCTATATCATGAGACGAAGATCATAAGTTAAATAAACTATTTTATCAGAGCTACTGTTTAGACAATGCTAATTTTGACAATAAAATTTAACGCTTGTCATGAGTATTCTCGAAACCGAACGTAGCGCCATCTGATTAGCGATGGAAAAAATATTCATAGCTTTACTATAACCGAGAGGTGTATACCTTCTTCGGATAGGTTTGGCTCTCACGATTTATTATGGCTAATCAACAAACATAAATGTAACTTAAAATTACCCTTTTAATCTCATTTTTAACATGTATATTTAACAATAGCTTTTTTTCTCGTCCTTTCAACGTGTTACGCGTGTTTTACGTGATAAGTGGGCGTATTAACCGACGCAACGTCTCTTGAAGAAGCATATATCCGTGTACAACAAGGAATGTAGCGCTTTGGGTCAATATATCGTTGTTGCACGCCAGCAAATTTGCTCCAACGTATGTCAAATAAAATGTTAAGATTTTTGTCACGACGCAGGGCTCGTAGTGTCAGTGGACAGACTACTTCGTCCCAAATAAAAAACCAACGATTGCTGAGCAATAAGAATGTTGTTCAATGCAGAGTCGTTTTACTCGATGGCACGGATTTACCTATAGAGCTGTCAGTAAGTAGAAAAGTTTATTATGAAATGACAATAGACTGTATATCTAATGAATAGTTTATTCAAAAATATCTTGATACAATGTATTAACACAAAGAATGTAATTTTTTTGTTTTTTTTTATATGAATGTATTTTTATCACTAATTTAAAAATTTTTGTAAATATTTTTGTTACAGAAAAAAGCATTGGCTAGTGACCTATATGAACAAGTGTTTTATAGTTTAGATTTAATAGAGAAAGATTATTTTGGATTACAGTATACAGATAGTAATAATGTTCAGCATTGGCTGGATCCCACTAAACCAATAAAGAAACAAGTAAAAAGTATGTTTATTTTTATATGTAAAGAAAAATATTATGTATAGTTCCTTTTTATTTATTAGAATTAATGCAGTGTGCTTTTTAAACTCAATTGTAACTTATTTTCAATACTTTATTATTAACAAGTAATATTTTATGTAGTTGGACCACCATATACTTTAAGACTCAAAGTAAAGTTTTATTCGTCAGAACCTAATACTTTACGTGAAGAATTAACAAGATATCAATTTTTCTTACAATTAAAACAAGATGTTTTGGATGGAAAACTTCATTGTCCACATCAAGTTGCTGTGCAATTGGCTGCTTTAGCTCTTCAGTGTAAATATCTAAAAAAAATGAACGGTTAAACAATATAAAATCAATAGATTTTAATATTATTTTAATATAAATTGTTTTATATTTTTAGCTGAACTTGGTGATTATGATCCTGCTATGCATAGTGCAGCCACAGTGTCAGAATTTAGATTTGTACCAAGTCAAACAGAGCAAATGGAACTTGAAATACTTGAAGAATATGCCAAGTGCTGTGGCCTTAGTCCAGCACAGGCTGAGTCAGCCTATCTCAGCAAAGCTAAATGGTTAGATATGTATGGTGTGGATATGCATACTGTTCTTGGTAAAGATGCATGCGAGTATTCTTTGGGATTAACACCAACTGGAATCTTAGTTTTCGAAGGCACACAAAAAATAGGATTATTCTTTTGGCCTAAAATTGGTCGACTAGATTTTAAAAAAAAGAAACTAACATTAGTTGTAGTGGAAGAAGATGATGAAGGTAGAGGAGAACAAGAACATACATTTGTATTTAGACTTGTTAACGAAAAGGCTTGTAAACATTTATGGAAGTGTGCTGTAGAACATCATGCTTTCTTCCGATTACGCGCACCTGTTAAAGGTGCTAGTGGACGACAAAACTTTTTTCGTATGGGTTCGCGTTTTCGTTATAGTGGTAAAACGGAATTTCAAACAACTCAGCTGAATCGAGCACGTAGAACAGTGCAATTTGAAAGGCGGCCAAGTCAAAGATACGCACGTAGGCAAAGTCATGTTTTAAGAGAACGTCAGCGTCAACAAGTAGAGCAACCGCAACCACCAGCTCCAGTAGTTAACAGTAAGCACAACAAAATATTATCGTATTATAATAGAAATTTTTTAATATCAAAACATTTTTTTTTCTGGTTTCTATTAGATGAAGACGAATCTTTGCAACGTCAGCCGAGTCAATGTAGTACAAAATCATCAGATTCCAGTGTGCATGCTACGTCTTCACCTTTGGTGGATTCGTTATTAAAATCACTGGCCAAAGATCAACAGCCTTTAGAACCTAGGAATCAAGCAACAGTCGCTAACACAGAAAAAGAATCAGAGCCAGTAAAAACAAGTTTAATTATCGAGAATATGGCTAATCAAATGCCATTAGTGCCAAATAATCAAGTTGGTGGTACTTCTTCTCTACCCCCGCGTACGCCTATTCCTCCAGAGTCATTAAAATGTAATATACTAAAAGCAAAATCTCTAGAACAAGGAAAAAATTCAAACTTGGTTTCAATCACTTCTATGGATGCACCTACTGTTATTACTAAGAACAATCAGCACTCTGACGCAGCAACAATTGTATCAGTGGTAAGAAAACTAAAATTCTTCTATCATTAATATTATTTGTTATGCAAAACATCAAAGTACATTTTCAAATAATCTGTTATAATAAAAGTCGTTCTTTTACTTTTTGGATTGCTATTGATTAACTTCCTTGTATTTTCTTAATAAATGCATTGCAAAGAATAGTATTTGATATTTAAATTAGAATTCTGTAGTAATTAAGTGCAAGCATTTCAAATGATATATATATTTGTTTCGAGTTTAGATATTCATTTGAAATGCTTGCATTTAATTATTACAGAATATATATTGTTTCATTTTATAAATATAAATATTTGTGAATTCTTTATGTTACATTTTTAGATATATCTTTTGTTGTTAAATACTTAAATATTTTTTCAATATTTGTTCTTTTGTTTTGTGCTTCTAGGCTTTAGATGTGATTTGTTTGCTTTTTTGCATTATTTCTTATTTAGGGTGGAGACAAATTGACACTTTCTGTAAGTGGAGCTACGATGATGAACCCATCGGCAGACGATAACGTGACCGTAACACATTTTTCTCTAGACAGCTGGGGGCAAATTGAACAAAAAACTACACAATTGAACCCTAAAATTTCGAATCAATCTCAGAATCCGTTTAATCCATTCACTAGTGAGAATAGTAACGAAGTTACTACTCATATCTCTGAAAATACCGAAATGGACACAAAAACGGAAGAGGAAAAGAAAGCAAATACAAACCCGTTTATAGATTCAAATCCGTTTTTGGGTTTACTTAATCCTTTTAAAGAAATACAACCAATGGTTGAAAAGAAAGCTGATGCGGAAATAGAGAAAAATGGGGCAAGAGTTGTGAAAACTGAAGAGATACAAACGACTACTACAACACTTACTCACAAGGTGTGGCTCATTCTTAAATGCTTGTCAGTTAGCTATTGTAATATAGTGTTTCATTTTGTATTTGTCAAAAAATGCTTTAGCTTATGCAAATTGTATGTGAAAATGTGTTTTGTTTTTTATAACAATATAATATTACAATAATTTTTGTATTTTGAATTAAAACATACCAAAATTCTATATCATAGTTATGATGTATCCTCTAGGAATTTATATTACACAAATAATATTTTTTTGTCTTAGGATGATAATTCTGCAGTCTCTGATATCAGTCCTTGGTTAGTGGCTGATCCATTACAAACAACAATGATAGATCAAACTCCAATTAAACATACTGTAATTACGAGGAAGACAGTAATTACCACACAACTTTGAAGTATTAAATAATCAACGAAACATATGAAAAATAGTGATTAATACTTTTTTAACAGAAAATAATATACTTTACGAATTGGTCTTCCTTAAGATATATATTGACTTACTTAAAGTGCCTATAAGAATACAGTACACATATAGGAAAAGAAGTAATACAGTACTGTCAAAATATAATTTAGAATATATCAGTAGGACCAGTCAGCATTTATATTTTTTCGCAAATTACAAATAATTTGCATTTGTGTAAGTATTTAATTTTATTTAATTTCAGTTCATGTATTTTATTTTAAAAATTATATTCGTAAATTATACGAGTTTCTTAAAAAATCAAAAATTGTAGATTGTATAAATATGGTTTCTAATTGAAAATTATTTTTTCACGTGATATATGTTTTATATAAGATTGACAATTTTAAATTATATAGGAAAATTTCATGAGTGCAGAAAATATATCAATTGGTAACTTTAATATTACCTTTCAATACTTATAAGTACTTATTTTATTAAAATGTTGTTTATATTTTTATCTTTTCTTTCTTTTTCGTTTTTTTAAATAATATATGTTTTATTTTAATTCATTATTAATTCAGTTCTGTCATGTAAATTATTTGTGTGTTCTATGTTTATTGTTACATAATAGTTAGTTTTTACAAAGAATTAAGTGTCCTTGCACCTTATTATACAAGAAGAACACATACAGTTTAAAAAACAATAATGTATGGTGCTAAACTAAACTAGCCTACTAAATATGAAAATTGTTAAATTGACTTATTTTTCACATTCATCGCCCAATTGTATATTTATACGTAATTAGAGAAATTTTATATATTGTTTAAAATTTGCAATGAAGTCCGAGTACCTAAATGATAGCTTATCTAGAGGTATTTGAATACTGTTTAAGTAGTCTTTTCTACTTGCCATAGTGCCTTTTATGACAATGAAAAAGGGAAATGATCTTAGTGAAATTTATGCTCATGCCTATCAACTTATATTTTGTTTACTATAAAATTTTTTATTGTTGAAAATACCTTTAACTACGAACATATGTACATTGTTATTGATATAATAAGTTTACAGAAGATTATCTTTTTATTGATCACCTTTTATCAGATTTTATCAGAATTTACTTCACTTTCTATAGAAAAGATATACAATTTATATCTATGTATCTATATCTATGGTATTTTATTTTTATTGTATCATGTAAACATATTGTACGTCATAATGTTTTCTTCCTTCTAGTTTTTATTGTTTTTGTAGTTATAGTATTTGTAACTAAAATATCAGTATTTTATAAAATTTATTTCTTTTAAATATGCAATACAATGAACTAAAAATATTTAATTTTGAAAGAAAAATAGTATATGTGTTTTTAGCATGAAAGGAACAATCTATGACTAGATTAACAATAGATACTATTTTATACTTCAAGTTTATTGTATTACGAAATTTATTATATGTAATGCATTTAAATGATAGTTATAAAACATATTTCTCAGAATATAAGTTATGAAAAAAAGAACTCATTTCGACGAATTACATAAAAGGCTGTTCAAGTACTTATTGTATTCCACGTATGAGCATTTACGAAAGTAGAATAAGGCGTTGTTCGATGTTCTATGTTTTTTGCTTTGTAATAAAAAAGTATTATTAAAAAATTGCATTATAAATTCCTCAAAGATATATTTATTCACTGTCCGATGTATTTTATAAACTAAGCATTGAGATATATTGAAAATAACATTTGTTTATAACTTTGCAAAAGCAAATTATACAATAAAAATTCATAAGGATTTTCACGGCATAATTAATGTTTAGTAAACATTTATATCAAAATTTATAGTCAAAATTTAAGTACTCGCATAATACAAAATTAAGATATACATTATCATTCAATGACAGTTTTGATAGTCATTTAGAAATTTAATAATGATAATTAATGTTTTATTATCTGGCTTTGAAGATCTACTTTATTACTTCACGTTACGTGCGTATTAATGAAAGCATGGAAAGACAGGAAATCTGTATTTTATCAACACGAATAATTGTCATAAAATGTTGTTAACTGTATATAAATTGTAAAAATCAGCAATATCTACCATGACATATTTGACAATTAATCTTAATGAATAAAATTAATACCATTCGATATAAACCAAACAGAATTTGTTACATATAATTTCTTTTTTTTTTTTTATCAACAATGTGTTAAAATATGTTACGTTTATTTATGTATTTTACATTTCATTACTGCTTTCGTGAATTGATTTATAAATTAATCTTTCAGTATGTTTACAGTAAGATAAAAGAAACGTTTTTTTACGTTACTGTCAGTTCCGTTTTTAAGAAACTATTAATTATTTATTACTCTTTCGTCATTAAATGCTTTAAAATTATTACTGAGGAATGTTATACCATAGAGATCAAAAATATCTTTTGTAAAAATGAACTCAAACATATTGTACATATGTCGTACAAAGGCATTCTCTACTTTCTTTCAGCATCATCTAATATTATTCTGTGTGATGCATGAACACCTTCGAACGCTTTATCTAAGTAATTTAATATCTTCTATTTATTATGTACAGAGTGAAGATTTCAATCGCTGCTTTGACTACTTTTTAAAATATATATCACAAACTTCGATTTAAGTACCATTTTACTTAAAGTTTTTTAATATATATTATTGCATGTCAGCGAGATTTGCTAACAATTGTTCAGTAGATGGTATCAAACAGGTGTTTCAGGGTTGTCCCATTCTTCAGTGTCTTGTTGTGATAGAAATTGCACATGCGAAGACTCATGCACCATTAAACTAACCGTGTCTGTATAATCAACAACATCAATGGATCGTTCTCCATCACGCGGTAAACTTTTATTTGAAGAAATTGAGCTACTGTTTTCCTCACTACTGTCGTATTTAAACACGCTATCAGATTGTGAATGAATTGGGGTAGATAATTCAGAAACTAACGGTGTAGATTCATCCTCGCTTTCTCCTGGAACTGGCGAAGAAGGTAAAGTGCCCATTAAACGATCTTTCAATTTACTTAATTTTTCTAGGCTAGAGTTTGGAACAGGGACTGATAGAACTATTTCATCGTTTAATGTTGATGTTGAGCGGCGTTTCTTCATAGGCGTAGAGATAGTTGATTTCATAGGTATATTATTGGCTACATAATTTTCATCTGTTGACTTGGATCTGAAGGCAGGTCTGGGAGAAGACGGAGGAGACACAAAGAGCGATGCCGGTCTACTACCAGTGGAATTGCCTGCACTTTTTTTTAAATCTTTACGTCCGAACGAACATGCTGATCTAGTGCTTAGCTGAGATGTAATACTACGTTGCGAATTTGTACGTTGAAGATGAACTGTGGATTCAAATGAGCTGTCATCTGACGTTTCAGGCTCATCATTTACTGGTACCCAATGCAGAAGTGGATTAGATTGAAGTATCACATAATCTGTATCTTGAGGAGCCGTCGACATAGATCCTAAAACAAATCTTTATGTTATCCAGTTTTTCATTTTCATTATTGCAAAATGCATTAAATATAAGCAAAATGTTTATTCGTTAAGAACTGTATAATAAAGCATTTAATATTATAAACAAGGATTCCTAAATGAAATACGATTACTAAATTTTTTTTATTTAATGAAATGATTTAATTGTTCGTAATATTGTTGCGATTTTTAATAAAAATATAAAATGAAAATATGTATACCCATTAAGCTTATAGATCTAAACTATGAAAGATAATATCATTTTAAGTTTCCAAAAGAGTTTTATTGCCATTCGCACTTATAATATAATTATTCAACAATTTAAGTAAAATAATTGTACATACAGTACAAAAGAAAACACGAATAAAGGAGAAAATATAACTATAACATTTAATTTGGTATATAAAATGTTTTCATGTAGAAGCTTATCTTTCTAAATATTCAAGATCTATTAGCATAAACATCCCAAAAAGAAATATATTCGTCCAACATTAATGAGAGTAAGAACTTATTATCACAGTTTGTTTTACAAATGTTCATTATGAAAAATACAGTATTTTTAAGTATATTGTGAATCTACAATTAATAGTACAATGACCAATTAAGCATTAGCATCAAATTATTTATGACAGGAATACGAAAAATATATCTTTTATAATTTTAGGAATACAAAATGACACAATATTTGTTTTCGCAAACTACATCATTAGTTAATGTACCAAATCACTATACGAAAATGATATCTGTATGATATGGTAACGCATACATCCAAATCACTACTATAATAGTATTATATGTTACAATGAATGATGTTTTTCCCTATTTAACAAATATTCATTTTATATTTTTTATTAATAGTAATAATACAGTCTCTCGTAAGACGTTGGCACATTTTAAAAAATTTGACATATTTAGAGGCAAGATTAGGATAAAGGTGGTAATAAATCCTTTAATCTCTATCACATGTATTGTACTTAAAATATGTATGTTTATAAATAAATTAAATTTTTATTGACTGTTTGTTGCATGTAGGTACCTATCAATTGCTAATACTGCTACGATTTTATCTACGAACATGTGTAGTAAGAAACATCTAAGCAACAGTTATATTGACCAGAAGAAAATCGAAACATTACAAGTGATGGATTTTATACACCCATCTTCGAATACTATGTGGTCATATCGGTGCTGTACGCGCACGATACATGATCGAATTGTACACCTATATCCCATTTAAATTCATTAAAAATTTGTACTGTATTCTAATACGGTGTCACGCTTTTGGTCTGGCTGCGGTGGTTCTTGAACTATAACCAGAGGCAGTGAAAGTGGTAGGGAAGAGGGCTCACCTGAGAGTGAGTCTGATGGTACCACTGTAGAAGATGGTACATCTAATACATCTTCGCATGCTTCTTCATTTAAAGTTTGCAGTGCTCCACATATCATCTGTTCTTCTAAAGTTACCTGGAAGATGAGTTAATTACTTAATTTTCAACCACATTTGATATATTAATATTAAATTTTTAGATTTGTTTTACATTAATTATTTATACTTTTCGTTAAAGAATTAACACAAAATGTTAAATACAATTTTGCTTACCTGGAACTAGAACCAAGCACGATTGTAATGAGAATTATACTTTATTAATTAATTAATCGTTAGAATACATATATTTACATGAGTTTACTCATACATAATTTAAAGAAGCTTACTTGTTTTTCCATAATAGATTGTTTCGTTTGATCTCGTCTTGAAGGACCATCGGTTCTTGATGTTCCTTTTTCTTTTTCAACATGCGTTGGTACGCGTATCGAAGTACTTTGCAAAGCATGATCTGTAATTGAATAATAATAAAAAAATAATTTTATAATACATTCTCATTTATTTAGACCGTTTTTAAGTGTACCTTTTCGTTGAATTTGTTCTGATCCTACAGTGAAGCGAACACTTCGTGAGCCTTCTTCATGCGTACTAAACGATGAAACTTCTAATTCTCTAAGTGATACAATCACCATACGGAATAATTCCCAATCTCCAAAAGCCATTTTAAGAACCTGCAAATACAAAATATTATTATTAATTTTATAATGCATCTTTTAACGTCACAGATGTAAAACTTACTTTTTTCAGCTCCTGTAATTCACAATGTAATAAAACTCTACCATTAATGTTATTCTCCTTAATCACTTGTTTGTACTGTGGTGCTTGATTGGGATTTATACTTTCGATCCTATCAATAAGATCGCAAATTCCGTTTACTGTTAAAGACGAAAGTCTTATCTCCAAAATGTCGGACTAAAAAACAATAAAGAAAATAAAAAGAAAAGTATAAAATTATTATATTAAAAGTAATAATGGTACTAATTTTTTAATATTATAATATATACCGGTAAAGTTGTAGTTGCAGAAAGTGGTTTAACCGCCGATTCCATTGGAGGTATTTGCACCCATGGTGGTGTCTGCCAATCAAATGTCGGCTGTATACAAGGCTGCAACCATGATGGCGTTGATGGTACCGGTACATGTCCTTGTAAACTTGGTGTTTTAACAAGTTTCATTGTTCGACTTGTTAAACTACTTCTATTTACATTCCAAGGTTCATGATTATTACTGTGTATAGTCCAAGGACTATATTGTTTATATGGACCAAGTCCTGTCTCTTCTTCCATACTCTGTTGCTCCTCTTTTATTTTCTTTTTAATATAAGGATCGAGATTTATTGTAAATGGCAAAAATATTTTCATATCACTAACAAGTAAACTGGAACGATGAAATGTCAGAAAAATATCCAGTTTACGTTCATCTCTATCCATTTCTAACAAAGGCTGAACTTCTTTAAGTACCGGAATTTGAGGTCGTATTCTAATAATTTGAACAGAAGTATTAAATATAAATTAACAAATGGAAATATGCAATTTATTTAAAGGTAACGTACTTATCATAAAGACTTTTTAACGACGTAGAATCATCTAAACTATCTTCATACATATCATAATGAAGAATTAACCAGGACGTTCTAAATGGCCATTGTTCGGTGATATTGATCCAACTCGCTAAATGATACCAGTTGAAATCAATTTGGAATGCTTTTAACAACCTCCCTAACAAGAGAGATATAATATATTATAAATAAATACGGCACATAAAAATATATGTCTTCGAGAACAATTATTTTTTTATTACCAGTGACATAAACGACGTTCATTAATCTTCTCATGCTACGAGGATTCACGTCGCTAAAGTAATCGTCAGTGAGAAGCATTTTATTAAGATCCTGAGCACCACCCAATCGATTCAAATTACTACCGATACTACTGGCGATTGACTCGCTTAATCGTAATTTTCTACTGCCTTTCCTACTTTGTGGTTTTAATTTTTCGTTGCTGTTCATTATACCGGATTCTGTGCTAAGTCTTCTATTAGAAACAGAATGATGCATCGTACTAGTGGCGGTGTAATTAACACTTTCCTCGGCTTCGGTCCACGCAGTTTTTCTACTATGTTGGGCAGTTTGTTGAGCAACTTTTACTTTCCGTAAACCACTGTTTTGTAAATAAAATGGAAGATGTACCATATTACGTAAATAATCATGACCACCAATATTAGACTCTGTAAATAATCTCCTACTATTGATTTCCACTGCCTAGATGTAAGGAAGAAAATTTGATATCATTGAAAAAATCAATTCATGCATATCCCATACATTTTCTTGGTCATTTACCTTGGCAATAATATGTGGATCAATTGCTAATATAACAACAAATGGATATCCATTATCACTGAATAGTGCTTGTATAGCATCCAAAACTAATAACACTTTATCTTGTTCACAACTATCCAGACCATCCACAATTATTACTAATCTGCTTTGTTGCGCCATAAAACTATCTAGGCATTTAACCTGTGTTATTTTTTATAAAAATTTTGTTAAGTACTAGCATGTTACATTTGGGAAAAATGCATTATTCAATTAATATATTATATACCATCTCCGTCATTAAACTGACTTCGCTTCTTAGCGTTTGTATAAAACCTTCGCTTTTTAAAGTCTCTAACTTAGAAATGCTGCGTTGCAAATGCCGCCTTTGAGAGAAAACAACTGCTTGCAATGTTCGATTCCATGTATATAAGTTTGCTATTATACTAACAGCTAATATTAAGGCAACAGTTATCATAATAATGTGTGCCGTAACTCTTTCTATTGTTGGTCTACGACATTCAAAATCAAGAAAGTAAGTCATGAAAGTGTCTTTCTTGTTCTTTTTTTTCCTTGAATAATCAATCTTCACTGCATACTCACTCGCTGCTAGAAATGTCGATGAGGTAGATCGTAAGTACAGAGATTCCAACGAGTAAACTGCAAAAGCAGAATTCGAATATAACGATATATGGTAAACAACAAAGGTGTCTCCACTTCCACGTTGTCGTCGATTTATCCGGTTTTGGTTTGAATGCTCTATACAATCGCGTAGATAAAGAACCAAAATCATTCTCAATGGAGTCATAAAGAGATCCCACCATTTGTACCACAGCATTTTCTCCGGCAGCAGTTGTTCCGACTCGAGTCTGGTCAGTGAAATAGAATTTTATTGGCTGAACAGTGACACCATCGTGAACCCGACCACCAGGAGGATGGCAAAAAATTACTTGCAATAGTAGCTTCAATGAATTTAATTTTGTAGTTAGAGCTACTGTAAAGCTGTATGGCCAATACCAATCGTATCTATGATTTAAATATTTAAAAATTAAACATTCTAAAAATATATGAAACATATATTTTTAAATTTGTAATTTTACCTTTTATTAGCATACCAAATAAGTATCAAAAAGGTGTATGTAATAATAATAAGACTTATGCCACATGCAAGACCAATGACCCATGATTGAAGGGCAAGACCTATTGTAATACCCACTAATAAGGATACGTGAGTTACTACTACGAATAGTAAGAAAGAAAATTGGAATACAGGATCTATCCATTGACGAGCAAAATTTTTCATTTCCTCTGAAAAAATTAGTACAAGCATACAAATATGTTATACAATTTTCAATTTTAATTTTCAATCTAATTACTTGTTAATCATAGTAAATATTACCTCTTAACTTATTTAACAAAAACGATTTTCCTGAACCCCACTTTGCGTAAAGGCCAACAGTTATAGGCGTTGAAAGTGATGGTTCACTAAGGATATCTGCTAACGCACTACTGTACAGGTCGTACCCAAGCATATTTTCATTATCTTCGTTAGTATTGAGACGTCCTAAAATAAACATCATTATTTCAGTAAATGAAAAGAAAAATGATACATTTTTAAATAAATAGGCTTATTTTATATATATAATTTGTTTTATTTACTTTAATTTAAATTATTAATTAACAACATACGTGCACCAAATATTTGTCCAAGAATTGTCTTTGGATGATTGATGTCGATATTATAAGGAGTCTCTCCTTGCCTGTTTGGACGGTAAAGTAGTTGACTATTTTTTGGATTTCTCAATAATATCTCGACAATAGCTTTTGATCTTGCTCGCATAGCTATGTGTAATACCGTGTCACCTTTTTTGTCAGTAGCTGATACTTTAGCTTTTTTGTCTAGTAACAATTGGACAATTTCGGCGTTTCGCGATCTAACTGCTCGTAATAACGGAGTGTCGCCGTCTTTTGTTGCAATTTCTAAATCTGGATTAGCATTTAATAATAACTTCAGTATTGGTATATTGCCTTTTTCAACTGCTATGTAGGTTGCAGTTTTTTTGTCCTAAAATATTCACAAAATTTAAATGGTTATTCCAACATGCTGATTAAAATACATTATTAAAAATTATCAAGTAATGTTGAATGCAAAGAAAAATAAAATATTTTGCATTTAAATAATTATATTCGTATAAAAATTGAATGCATCAAGTAATATATAATTAACGTTTTTACCTTGCCGGCTATGTCGACATCAGCATACTTTTTTAATAGAGATTCAACTACTCCTCTATGACCGCCTTTTACGGCATGAATTAAATTCGTATCACCAGCTCTATCTTGGATGTTTACATAAGCACCAGCGTTCAAAAGTGCATTTGCTATTTCATGATGTCCTTCTCGACAGGCTATTGCCAGGGCAGTGCAACCATCTTTATCTAGCGCATTCACATTTGGTTTGTGCTCCAAAAGAAGTAGTACTACATCCACATGGTTTCCAAGAGTGGCAACGAGAAGAGCTGTCCATGAATACTAAATATAAAGTTTTATTTTATAGAATTTTTAGTTTCTTAATAAATTAGATTTAAAATTCATTGATTATTTTACTGACTGTAATTAGTAAGTATCTCTGAATTATATATTTTTGTAATTTTATTTCTAAAGCGAATTATCCTTTATTAATTCAGTTACATGAATATTAGAAGTGAAATCTTACCATGCCAGCAGTATCAACATTAGCACCAGCTTGTAAAAGATTATCTACAATTTCTACGTGACCTTTGCGTGACGCCCACACCAATGCTGTTGTACCATACTAAAAATTGGTAAACTATATTTACAAATATTTGTCTAACAACATATTTGTCTAAAACATGCAGAAATAAAACGATATATTTTATAGCATCCATTTTTTATGTCTTCAATTAATTTTCTATGAAATACATCGTACATAGGCTTTCAAGGTACCAAAAATAAGTTACCTTATCGCCGACATTGACTTTTGCACCATGAGCAATAAGATCCTTTACAATGTCAGGGTAACCCCTGCCTGCGGCCCATAGCAATGAAGATATATGAAAATTTCCATGTGCATTGACGTCGGCTCCTCGTGCTAATAACATCGTCACCGTCGGCGACCTACCCTTGTACGTTGCCCACATAAGTGCTGTCCACCCTCCCTAAAAATACATTTTCCCTGCTTACCAACTGCACGCTTTTCTTATAATTGTCAATAATTTCATTTACAAAAAAATGAAACATTATAACATCATAAAATACAAAACCACAGGAAACAATTTATTTTTGATATAGAGGAATTTGTTATGCTTAGAAACCAAATTGAAAGACCATACCATATCTCTGTGCTCCAAATCGGCGCCATGCTCGAGTAATTCAAGGCACACATCCGTGTAGCCTTCCTTAGCAGCGCAAAGCAACGCCGTCCAATTATCCTGAGGAGATTGAATTGATGTACGATTAGAGAAAAAAAGAAAAAGAAACGTATAAAATATAATGACAGTACTAACCCCATCTTCTGCATTAACATCCGCTCCATGATTGATGAGCTCTCGCACAAAATGTATTTTCCCCTTAGTTGCTGCAAGGATGATGGCTGTGCTACCATTCTAAAACAAGAATAATAAAATCAACCATCTAAAAATATAATTGTAGAGAAATTAGTTCGAACATTATCAAAGCTAAGATTATGAATTAGAACCGGAAATTTACAGGTCATGTTAAATTGCTTGCAAAAATAAGTAAAAAAAGAAAATAGGCACATTTATTTAAATGTATTTACCCGTGATTAGGAAAAAATTAAACTGTTTAAATGTGAAATAAATTGAATTTCGTTCATCTTTTTATAAAGAAGAAATTTAAAATTAAGTCAAACCAATTAGATATGTATCCAGGACCATTTTTAATCTTTCCTTGGCCAAACTACCAAAAGGCTAACTATTTTTACCCAAATTTGAGTGGTTATTTTACTAACGTTACCTCGTCTCGGTCATCGATCTGTACTCGTTTGTTTTCGAGGAAGTTTTGGAGACCAGCGAGATTATCATCTGTGATATAGCTGGCGAGAGATCGGTAGCAGAGCGATACCATCGAGTCAGTCCGGTGCAAGGTCTGCGGAGAAAAATAAGCAAAATTAAAACGGGCAAGCGACAATTCTGAACTGAGTTATCACGTTCGTGTTCTCCAATCGAAAGCCGCAGCGAAGCGAATTAATTGCTGTGTAAGTAGAGGCACAGTCTGCGAAAGTCATCGACGCGCCGATTTAAGGCGAATTTAATACCAATAATTAAATTACATAATTTAATGTCGTATTTTATAGATGATCAATATTCGGCCACTCTCCATTTTTATACGTATCTATATATAAATCTTAGTCTGCTCTGATTTTGAAATATTTTAAAATATTTTGAAATTCGAAGTATGATAGGCTTTGATGAACTTGAATCGCGATAATTGCTGCTGGAACCGTGCAAGATATCGAAACATTTAGCACTCGACACGGGACCGAATGCTAAGTAATAGTTTACACGGTAAAATTTAACATCATTCTTTGGGAAGCAAATAAAAGTAATGGCATGTACAAATCAATTATCGGATAAAGATCCATCCAGGTAACAATACTTGAAATCCCTATCAGAAACAAAATTTTATATATATTTTGATATACAAGCAATACATAATAACCGTAGAGAAAAAATATGATTTCGATATTTCGTCTTTAAGAGAGAAACAATTCTTACATAATATAAATAATTAAGATTTTTATTTACTTTTATAATTAAACTTATATTTCAACCAGTCTCATAATCGCTAACTTTTCAAGAGAATTGTGTCTTTAGATCTAACAGGTTATTTCGAATTGTATCGTATTAAGATATTCCATTTTACTTATTATAGAATGCAACAGCAGAGTCAGAAAATCAATAAAGCTAGATCTATCCACGCGATATATACACGTGAATATTTTAATTGAGCATTTTTCAAGCTAGTAAGGCTGATTTTTATTCGCAGCAAAAATCGTGAAATACTTTCATGTTTTTCAACTAATGGAAACACGTAGGCTGTGGCTGTAAGTAATTTTCGCAGAACCGAGGAACACCAGTACGCAGAGCTTGTACATATTTAAAAGGAGCACAATAGAATATGGGTCAACGATAAAGAATGAATCAGAGCCGAGGGAAACGTTGATTGAAAGGCAAATAAAGAGGGTAAGATACAAAGGAACCTTAGGTATCGTTGCACAATTTCGGTACACTAGTTTTCGCAGAGAGGTCCAAAAAAAGGAGAAGCAAGAAAGAAAAGGAAAAGATATAAAAATAAGCAAATTGTTATATAAAAGGGCAAATCCATTAAATTCGCTTAAATGAATAATTAAGCGAATCAGTTGGATATTTGTTTAATAATTGGATTTTTAAGTAGTAAAACGAAGCAGACTACCTTTTTATGAATAATTAGCACTGTCTCACAAGGGGAACATGGTGTGACAAATTTCAGTCTTGTTTATAAAGTTGTTAAACATATTATTAACACGTCACTAAAACGAATTAACATTTCAAGCTTCGATTACACCTTTCACACGTTCTTCGACAGTTTTCTTCTTCGAAAACTCATCCACGTTAATTATCTTCTCACAACAAGCATATTAAGATTTAGACGAATCTATTTTAAATTTTATTTTAATATTGCACGGATGAAAAATTATTTTTAACAGAAAAATTTTTATTTTCTCTTTTTAAAATTTTTCAATATAAGGAAAAATCGTCTTTAATTTAAAATTACAAATTTTAAATGCAAAGATAAAATTTTATCTTTCGTTACAATTTAATTTTATGTATGATATCAAACATCGATGAAATCCCTTGGCAAAGTTTTGAGTAGAACGTGTCAAAATTGCTTCGCGCAGAACGGCGAAAAGTTCTCGAAAATAATAATACAAATATTAAGCTGAACGTTAATGGCAATTTAGTAAAAATTACGCACAAGTAAATTTTCACTCGCACACGGGTTTGATTCGTCCATGCGAGTCACCGCGATCGTTGAAACGCAGACATAACTGGATCCTGATAGAACCTATTCTGATAAAACACCCTGACGTGTGTTTTGCATCACGTGCTCGATGCAATTCCGCTTACTCGCGAATGAATGTGATATCGCTATGAATATGAACCGGTGGGATCGATTTTAACCGAGTCCAACGAAATCTCATTACACAACGCATTTCGTAACTCTCATACCGTTGTGTCGAATACTTTTGTCCGTTAACGTTGCAAAGAAGATCGCCCTTTAAAGATCAATGAACCAGAATAATAATTTATATCGTCGAGGAAGAATTTTCTTTCTTTAATCGTTCAAAGAGCCTCGAGAAAATTTCAAGATACGTAACGATTACAATGTAATACTTTACGACAGCATTAAACTCTACTCTGACTTTTATCTAAATTGGTCAATAAATTAAGAGAGCACGGATAAGCAATGATCTTGCGAAATACCTAAAACTCGAATGCTCTTAAATCAGTAGCTAAGAAAGAGAATATTCGTAATCTACTAAAGCTAGATACAACAAAGACATTTCAACAGATAAAATGAGTCATACGTCGTAATTACATGACGATCAATTATCATTTTTCGTTGGTTCAAGACTCGTAAAGAAATTTATGTTCGTTGGTGCGCCAAAAGTTCGAAATAGAGCATGCCAAAAAATCCAAACAATGAATGCCAAATGTCTGAATGAACGATACAGGAAGTCTCGAAGACTCGTGACAGAGTTGAACGATTCAGAGATACGAAAAACTATTACCACGAATGATGATTAATGACCGCTGATCGTGACAATGTGCAAATATCCTTGCTCAGAAATTTACTACTTAGAACGGGTATCAATGACACTGGAATATGCAATAAATTATTTCAAACGAATGAGGAACATAAATCCGCTATATTAAGTACTTATAAGAATTATTTGGACATGAATTATCGAAATTTTCGTTCATTGTCAAAAACGTGATAAGAATTCTGATAATGAAAATACAAACGCGATCACTATAATACTTTTTCAGTCACTGCTCCATTCATTCTAACTTTTGGATGTACGAACTTTTAAAAGCGTTCGCTACATTTGCATTTACGTCGTTATTTTAAGATCGTTAAAAACATTTTGGCATTCCAACGAGTCCCCTTTCAATGAGAATCACTGAACTTCACGTCCAATTTCAGTGCAAATGAGGCAGCGTCGCGAGGATATTTAGGATGAAACACTTATTAACGTTTTATGCTTTCGGATCCTGTCTTTTTCAAAAAGAAATTCGATATTTGACTCGTTTTGTTCATTTTCGGGGCAAGTAGCCTTGCAAGCTTACCGGGGATCCAGCGATTCGTCGATAAATGCAAAGAAATGAAAAATAAAAGGGTACAAAATGAACGATTAATAAGATACAAGTGCATCTCGGCTGAAAAATCAAAATCAAATTAGTCGGGAGATTGGTTAGAGAATGAATAAGTTAGCTGTCTTACAAAAGACTTGGGGAGTGTGCATGATCTAAGTGAAACTACAATAAAAACGCTGGTAAAACATCACAAAGTCTCAACTCCCATCAGAAAGAGCACGATCAACGCCAAGAAATCTGAAACATCGGTTCTGAAAGGCTGCGATCGCTCGATCGTTTCGTTGTTAATTAGGCAAAAGCATTTCCCTCTGTCTCAGAGAAGAAGATTAAAAAATCACGCCAACGACTAACCGTTTGCGAATGCCTGCGAATTCCAAAGTTGAACTTGCGTCCAGATTCACCATCGGTGGCTGGCGCGGTGAACGTGAACGTGGGTACATGAAAATGCGGAAACACGTGGTGATGATGATGGTGATGGTGATGGTGATGAGAATGATGATGGCCGAGATCCTCCTCCGCCTCGTCCCAGCTCGTGGCTGGCTGCTGCGCAGGTATATGAAGCCGTAGAAATGGCAACTTTCGCTTGAGTCCACTCACTCC